TACCAAAATCAGTAAACTTAAGGTTACAGTTATATTAATTATGTTAATCGTATTTGCAATAAAGTCTTAGAAAACAAAAACGACCTTTAATCCCCGGATAATAATAAAAAAAAAAAAAACGTTTTTATTTCAGCCAGCTCTTTACCTTTGCGGCTTCATCAGGGCTACGGATTCCGTCAACAGGTGGAATTTTTTTTCAGAAATTTTCCGCAAAACAACAAAGTTATTAAGTTAATGTTATAAGAAATAATTTTACTTCATGTATTTTGATGGGCATATTACACTATATTTTGGATCATTCGTGTATGTTATAAATACGTTATATAAATATTCCTCTAACTTACTGTTGTCGCTACGCGTAAAATTATACGTATTTCTGTTTCAAAATTGTAGTTATTTTGTTATTCGCTAGAACTGATTGAATAATACTGAGTATAGCTTGTAGTTCATGTAGCACTTTATAGAATAGATGAAAAACCCTCTTAGATAAGAGTTTTTGTAGGTTAGTACCTGTAATTCAGTGAATAACACATATGATACTGTTGACTTGGCAGAGATTTAAACGCACTTTGTATCGCTTTGCGCGAAATTCAAAAACAAACTACACGAGGGCTATCTGCGCTAGCCGTCCATAATTTAGCAGTGTAAAACTAGAGGGAAGGCAGCTAGTCATCACTACCCACCGCCATCTCTTGGGCTACTCTTTTACCAACGAATAGTGGGATTGACCGTCACATTATAACGCCCCCACGGCTGAAAGGGCGAGCATGTTTGGTGTGACAGGGATTCGAACCCGCGACCCTCAGATTGCGAGTCGAGTGCCTTAACCACCTGGCCATGCCGGGCCCGCACTTTGTAAGAACGATTCGCATATGCTAAAGCAGTGGTGCGTGGACTCAGATGCGAGCCGTGGCGCCAAAGGCGACATGTTTAGCACCCAAATATATGGTGAACAGTAAATTCCCGACTCTTCGACGAGGTGTGAAGAAAATAGTTCCAAGGGCAGCACATACCTGGTGCATCCTTCTTATAAAACATAATTAACCCTAAATATGATGAATGGTAGTGTTAACTTGGAGTTCTTATATGATATAATTGCTTGGGATTTTATTTATATGTCGTCTACTCTACCCCTGACTTGTTGCACAGTGATATCTTAATTTATTGCGGGAATAATTAGATAAGGATGTTATAATGTAAACTAAGTCCGACTAGAATCTATTTTGTATGGCTTACATTGAATTGTTTAGTCGACGAAACACCTATAATGTTAAAAACGTATTATGAGAAATAACATTCAATGTCTATGTCTGAGTAAACATACTTATAATTTGGATGAAGTTATAGAAACACGTAGATATTTGTTGTTTCATAGAGAGAGCAAGCTTACCCAGCTTCTACGGGAAGTTCTAGGCAGTTTGATGTGTAGGGCGGCTATGGTAGCTCATGTATCCCCAGCTCCAGAGAACTATTCAGAAACGCTGTCCACTATTCAACTAGCAGCTAGGATTCATCGTTTGCGAAGGAAAAAGTTGAGAGTAAGTAAACACTCTTATTAAACTTCCAAACATTTGTTTAAAAAAAAAATTGTTTTCTACGTATGAGATACATTTGAACCGTTTTAATGTGTCTTATTTCGACTGTTTTTGCTTGTAAAGTTTGTTTGAAATCAAGCACAAAGCTACACAATGGGCTATCTGTGCTCTGCACACCACTATTTCGACGGACAACATATATTTATCGCTTAACTTTTTACGTTTTTTCAAATGTGAAAGATATGTGAGAATATTAAACTTTCTAATGGAGATTTTTGATGACTAATTTTACACAAGAGCTACGCAAACATCGTAAATGCGAGCAACATTGCCATAAAACCAAATACAAAATAGTCCTAAGGTGGGTTAAGCCTAGTTTACCTAGCTAATTCTATTGCAAATTATCATAGCTTAACTACTTAAATTAATGTTATTTTTATTTAACCAATGCTCAGCGGTAAGTATAAGGGATTATAACGCTACAAATCGGGTTTCGACACCCGCAGTGATCAGAGCACAGACAGCGCATTGCGTAGCTTTGATCTTAACAACAAACATTTTATGATAATTTTTAATTTCACTTTATTTTCTTATTTCCAATACAAATGCTGCAGTCACTAACGCATCCATTGTTCTGTGATAGCTGTATAAACTATTCAATATACTTTTTATATTGGGAACTTACACACTTGTATAGCATGTTACGTTCAATGGTTGACACAAAACCGGTTGCTTCTACAGGGACTTTCAAACGATTTAATATCTGCTGTATGCATAAAAATATTTTGCAAATACAATTATATTTATCTAAGGCAATTTTCAACATGAAAATAGTCAAAGGATATTCTTATAAATCTTTGTGTGAGAGACATTCCTTCGTATGCTTCTATAAAAATGCATATGTGAAATATTAGAGATTGAATATTTTATTACACGGTATTGGGTAGTTTCTACTAAACTTAAAATGCATGAAAAGAGGGATGATGTAAACCTGATAACAAAATCCCAATTTAGCAAACTAACAGCTTTATTATCAGTGCTATGTAGCAATACAATATTTTGAGTTTCTTGTTAGCAGGCTGCCTACGTAATGTTTTCAATAAACACATAACGGTGTTTCGGTTGTTACGTATTGAGAATTTGGAATAATCCAAATCTAATTTGTTTATTTTTAGTTCCCAGGCACAAGCTCCAGTGAAAGTTCAAGCGATGATCCAGGGGTGTGTCGTCCTTTTTTGAAAATCCATGCTATCAGTGAAGACAATGGTAAATCTGGAAGTAGCGATCCTGATTACACCTCCAGTAGCGAGCAATCCTGCGATACAGTAATTTTTGTTGGAGAAAGGGGATTAGCTGTTAACAAACGGCCCAATATTCCCTCTTCGCCACGACCCCCTAAGAAAAACATACAACGCCATACTAAACCCCTTGAGCGCTCTAACACTCAGGGCCTTCTTATGTCTCAAGGAATTGTGACACCTTCAAGCAGCCAGAATGAATTGCATAGTGAAAATTCAAAAAGTGCCTTTAGTAATGGAACTCGTGTGCCAATACCGTCCTCGAAGAGCGAACATTCAAACTGTCAATTTGGTGAAACAAATTCGAACGTCCGAGGTGTTGAAAGAACCCAGCTAAATATGAATGAAAATAAACTTTTAACGGTAAATACAAAGGCTCAACACCATCAAATAGAAAGTCGACTGAATGAAAGATTACAGACAGCTAATTTATCATCTAGTACTGAACATACAGCGCTTCTTCAGGAGCATGGAGGACTACCTCATCAATCAACAGGCCCTCACGGTTCCAGAAAATCTTTGTTCAAACATAAGCCTCAGCATGTAAAACAAGAAGAAATACTCCTTCCTGATTTAACTAGCCATTGCAGCTATACCAAAATGCATACTCGTGACCCAAAAGTTCAAAGTGACGAACTGTGGATTGATGGGCCTCGAGTTTCCAGATCAAAATTTGACAGTCGGTCACTTCAAGGTCTTCATAAAGAACAGTGGGTTGATGGACCTGGAGTAGAGATATATGGGTTTATGGATGAGCACAAAAAACATTTTGTTGCAAAGTGGGTTGAAGATCACTCACGGCACATCCAGACAAATTTAATGGCTCAGAAGGAAGAAGTATGGATAGATTTTCCACCATCCACAACGAATAGAACAGAAGTTTTGCAAAGTGGGGAATCTTTTCCACCAAACAAACAAAATTCATTTAATTTCAAGAGCAACGAAGACGAAAATCTAGGATGTCGGGTAAATCAAGATACTTCACAGCGTGTATTTACGTCAAGTCAGAAAGAAGGCGCCGAAAGCGATGTTCCTCAGGCTTTCGATTCACCAAGTGTGTATTCTAACAATTTCAATGAGATAACTTTTCCATGTAAAGACACGAATCCTTTAGTTAATAATCAATGCCCTTTGCAATATGTCGAAAACGTGCAAAAAGTTGAGACTAAAAGATGTAACTTACCATATGATGATCATCAGACTGTTGAAGATACTAACGAAGCAAGTCTCGACATGAAAAATACAGGAAATTCTCACCAACCAGACACCCCTAGTATTAACAACCAAGAAACAGATCACTCTGATGCAGAAATGGAGGCCGAATCTGTGACCATGCAAGATTCTTGTCAACAAGTCACAGAAGAAGATATTATCCTTGCTATGCTACAGGATGACTCTTCCATATCTGAAAGAGCACAATCAGAAACCGGTAGAGAAAGTTATGAGAGTAATGACCGACATCCTCTGAGCATTTTGAGTAAGGAAGACTTAACGTTAGCTTCTTCTTTCACAGACTCGCATTCTGTTGGTAGAAATGTTGACGAACAGTTCGCTTTAACACACGAAGATAGAAGAGGAAATTCATTACTGATGGAAAATGTTACCTGGCTTCAGAAATATCTAACCAATTACCATGTTAATAAGACACTAGTGGGCAATACAGCTTTAAAAAGAAATAGTTTGGTATTTTGGAATGATATATTTGCGCCAAAAGACGAGAATGTGCGAGAAAGAAAGCGCAATGACGACGAGTATTTGGAAACTATTTCCCTACCAGGTAAAAGATTTCAATTTCAACACAGTGATGTTAAGTCTAAAGACCCCGAGATTACAAGTATACAGAGTGAGCCTTTGAACGCAACTGAATTACAGTTTCAATTTGAACCTCAATTTCAAACAATAATGTGCAAACCAACTTATAAACTAAAGCCGACCTTGGCTGTGTTACCAACAGTGAACAAAACAAGAGAAAAATCTGTTTCCCTAGAAGCATTAGAAAACGCAGAAATCAACGAAATGGGAAGTAGAAAAACACAGCGTCCACCACGCATGTTTTCTCATGAGGTAAATAAGAAAATGTTTGCCCCTCGTGAAAATGGAGAAAAATCAACGTATGTTAAGCCTAGCGAGACACTAGAACCTTTAATTAAACAGTTCAAAAACTTAGAAACTGTAAGTTTTATATCACAACAAGATTCTTCAGATGGGGCACACCCTCAAGTTTATATTACCAGTAATGAAAAAGAAATATGTTCTGATATACACTCGTTAATTTTAGAAAAAGGTAGACCTCCACAAGTTACGCTTCATCACAATATCCCAAAACTAACTAAATCTCGAGAATACAACCGCTTACATAATAATATTGTAAAAGGAAAAGAGCTGCTTTTCCAGTCCCCTGACTTAGAAAATGATGTAACCGATTCTTCCCAGTTCAACCATGTAAATGTTGGAAATTTTTGGAACACAAAATCAAGTAATAGTCCCAAACGTTTTCAAACGTCAGAAAAACGTATCAAATCCCCTTTTATTACTTCACTGGCGAGAGACAATGACACACCTGTGGCTCTTAGTGACGATAATTCATCTCGAAAGAAAATATCGAGCGACCTTCACTGTGGCTCTGCTAACTCTCTTCAGAACTACCCAACTGAAATCCCACTTATCTCACCTTATGCTAAGGTCACTCAGGCTCGTTCAGCTAAATCCAGTAGTGGTCGTGGAAGTGACAGTAGCGTTGTCAGTGGTGAACCCAGAGAAGGGTCAAAGCTTCTTCCTAATGGTAAACTGCAACAGTTTTCTGGAACGAGTAGTGGGTACGAGAGTATGATGCGAGATAGCGAGGAAACGCCTGTGTCATCTAGTCAAGAGTCTGGAAATGAAGGTGAAACAGAAGAGCAACAGACTAGAAGAGGAGCACGACGTAAGCACTCAGGTAGATAAACAGATTAAAAAACACCATAGAAAGAGTTATCATATTTTATTTTAATCCTGTTTAATCGTAGTTTCTTATCAATAAAAAAACATGGACTATTTTATTTTTCTTCAGTCGATGTTCATTAGTCACGTATCTAAAACTTAAATTATCTCTCGTATGGACTGGATTAATTTAAACGGTTTGGTTAAAAGTCTTAATATCATTGGCTTATATAGCAGCATTACATATTTCTGTACGTTGGATATCACCTACAAATTCCATATCTAAAAGTGAAGAGTGCAAATACAACTAATTCTGCAAATTAAATTTTTCTTTTGCAACAAAAATATATGAGAGCCATAATGAAGTGTTTCTTTATCCCATCTTTCTAACAATCCAGTAAAATCATGTAAAGGCATTTATTTAATCCTTACCGGTGACTTGTTTAACTTGTATGTAAAGAGTCTCCTTCACAAATGTATATTCATATTTAACTAATGAATTTAGGTTCATACTATTAATGAAATGTCATGCAGTTATTCGTTCGTTAACAATTACGCTAAATAAAGGTAGGCAATCCGGCTTATGTAGTTTAATATCTGGGAACCAGGAAGCGACATCGATTACTTAGCTCAGAGCTTTGAAGATTGATGGTATTCTATAAAAGCCTACTTCCCACAGTAAGGTATATCGTGTTTCTGCTTTTTTTTATATATATTTTGACATTTGAATTTGTGAATACGTGTTTAAATTATTTGTGCGGCACATAGGTAGGCTTAACTAGATATGTTGAATATTAACGAGGTATTTGCATAAACATATAATTTCACTATGCTAAAATGGAATCTGTCGGGGGCGGGGGTAACTTGAATTATTGTACAGCAAAATAAATAACGCGAATAAAAAAGAAACGGGAATCGATGCCAAGATTTCAAATTAAATAGATTTTATACCAATAAGGTCGTAGTGCAAGCATGATGGTGGATAACTTAATAAACCCTATTCTGCAATTCCAAATAACTATATTATATTTAATAAAACGTAATTGTGTCCTCTTTTTTCGACGTAAAAGACAACAGAAATTTGACTTTGTAGGATGCTAGTTTGTTTTGGTTCTTGAGTTAAATCGATATTTCCTTTTGCGATGTTATGTCACATTAAAGGTTCATGTAATCTGGAAACAAGAGCACTATATTGAAATGGTGTGTATTATGCGTTTTTTGCCACAAAGTCTACGCTAACAGATAACAGTTATTTGTTGCTGGAAACTATAATAATAATAATAACCTGCAAATAGTAAAAATATTATTAGGTAAAACTTCTCAGTAAACTTATTGAACCTGAACTACTTCTTTTATTCATTTGTGCACTAAACTATAGTATATAAGATACACATCTGTACTTACCAACTAAAAACATAATTAGATAATTATTAAGTTAGAAAGATATAAGACAGGTAAGCAGAAGTACAGGTTCGTTTAATACGTCATCTTCTATAAAGCTTTGTCATTAAAACGTTTCAAACTCAGGCAAATACGTGTTCAAGTGCTCTTCGTTAGCTTTTGTAGAACTGTTTGAATTTGATAATTATATTGTCCTGTTTAACATATTTCTGTCTTACGTTTCGGTGGAATATTTTCTTCAACATATATTATCTTCTAGCATTTGTTTTTATTAACGTGATTGAGATTACAGCGATTAGAAAATTAAGGTTTGCCTGTTGATTATTGTTTTATGCTCCTTATTTCTCCATAGCGCTAACGGAATTTTTAAAGTTTATGAGTGAATTTTTTAAATCTTCATTAGATATTTATATATCAATCAACAATGTCTGTGAGAAAATAATAGTTAATTTTATTTATTTTTAAATAAAAGTGGTTAGTGAAAATAAAATTAAAACTAAATTTCCTTACTACAGGCCTTTCTGGACAGCACACAAAGTCTTCCCCTCTTACTATTAAAACTAGCTCTTCCGGCCACGACTCTCTTACTGTGATGACAAAACAACCTATGACGTCACGTCGTCACGAGTGGCACAATGGCAGTTTAAAGAAGCCTGATGAGGACGTTTGCTGTACAGGCCTTCTCTGCTGTGGTGTCGGTTTTCGAAAAATCACCTCGGATTTATCATACGTATAGACAAGTAAGCGTATATATAATTTCAGTAAGTAACGTGTCAATTCACCTGGGTAGGAAAAACAATACCTTACATGGTAAATATCATGGAACATGAGATTTGACGTCCCACGAAGAAAACAATCGACAATATCATAATGATGAAAAATCAAATAATAAACCAAATTATTTTTTATTCCTTTTAGATCGTATTGTCTCATTAATTATTAGAATCGATAGAAGTTAACAAATACTGCTGTTGTTGTTATTCTATCCGCGAACCTCGTTCATTCTAATTAGATTCATTTAAATTATCAACAAGAAATATATCCCAAAAGATCAGAATTGAATATGTTATATTAGAATTATTTTGGCTTGCTATCACGTTGTTACAGTGCTTGTTACAATGTACGGTTGCATTCTATCTGACGAACGTGCTTCTTGACAACAGTTCTGCAGCGTAGTCTCTATTGCTAAAGGTTCCGTCATAAGGCTGTCATGTCCAAAACACACCCCTCTTTCTTGTTGTTTTCCATATTCCATCTGAAGTACGAAAATGATCTTTTCCCAGCGTCTGATTGCACAGAAAGCCAAAGGTGCTGCGTTCGGCGATGTGATCGGGATGCCTTTGTGTTATTAATCCTTACCGTAATTTTGATTTGCAAATGACTCAGATAAAATTTATAACAGTTACACTTCAGTTACATAATATAGTTCACACTGTAACAGTTGCTGTTCATGCATTTGATGATTGAAATAGTGCCTAAACCACAACTATGTCTGTCGTATCCCAGCCGGCCTAATATGTACTTATATTAGACGGAAGGCCTCGTTGGTACTGGATATGGCCGATATAGTGTGATTGACGTATTACTATAAATACTCCTTTGTTTTCACTCATACGTTCTGAGAATGTGTATGTAACAGCCGCTTCAGGTATGCGATAGTTGAACGGATATGTCGTGGAAGAAACGTGAGTACACATGACTTATGCAGGTTTTCCAGACATATATCCTTTTTTACTATGCTGTTTACCACAGCTTGGGTACGACTTGTTGTAGGTCTATTTCTGGATGTCACTAGTGCCCGAAGTTGATCCATAGTCGTTTGTTTTCCACCATTAATTACAAGAAATATCCCCGTCATGTATATTTTAAATCCCTCTGAACACATCTTATGATTTAAGTGTGTGAATATTTTGCGTCGGCTGGGGCTGTTATATATCATTATCTAAAGCGATAAATTTTTTGGTGACGTCTGCCTACGAAATGCCAAGCAATGTTAAAATGTACTTTTGATACATTCCTCCTCTCAGTTACAGCGGCTATGGATGACAGTAACTTGTTGATTTTCATATTTCAAATCATTCTGATATAACGTACTTAACCCGCCGTATGCTTGTACTAATGAAAAGTAGTTGTGTTATCACGATGTGTTAAATGTCCTTCGTTAATAAAAAATGTAGCTTTGAATATCTTTCCAATTGAAGCTGTCACTGCAGTAGTTGTACAGGAAGAATGTTATCACAAAGCATCAATTAAATGCCTTTTTATTTTAGATTCAGATAGCCATTCATTTACCATCCAGTCTGCTGAATTTTATAACTCACGAAACTTATAAGATTTCAAGGAAGAGAGACCCAAAAATATGTTTATTGGCAAATACATAATTAATCCTCAATATAGGTTATGCTCCCACAAAATAGTTTTATACTATCAATCCTTCACGTCTAATAAATGCTTGGCAGACGATAAATATTAAAACGTTAATTTATTTTAGTCGAAAGTAAATAAACATATGTTATGACAGATATAAAATAGTAAAATTTGCAGATTGAAGCCAGTAGCTATAACACGTTAAATAACCAAATTTTCTATCTTGTCTCTCATACAAAACACAAGTCTTTTAATTTGTTGTTGTTGTTTTTTAGAAGTTTTAAGTTATGTGACTATGGAAGTAGTGATCTAATCTACCAGTTCATTTATTTTTTCCCAGTTACGCATTATTGAAGTAAGGTGTTACTAGAATATTACATTTAGCAGGAGAATAGTAGAAACATTGTGTTTACGTTACTTACAGCTTGATATTAATTTGAAAAGTCGTAAATTTCTTTATCTTTATCATAGATAAATCACCTTTACCTGAATGTAAGTCAAAATTTTTACTGTTGACTTAATACGTGTAATTCTTGATATAGAGGTATATTAAAAACATTCACAACTTCTATTCAATATTTATGTTTTAATTTTAGTACTCCTAATTTAATAAATCATTCAGTAATAGATTCATAGGTAAGTGTAGCTTTTTTTTCACGGCCTGTTGTAAGATAATAATAATAACTTATGACTTGGCTGCTATAGTTCAATCCGATCTTAATGTCTCAAAATATTCCTGTTTTTTATGCTCCAATTCTACAGCTTTTTAACTTCCTGGCAAGCAATCAGTCGGCTTTTTTGTTTTGTTTTGTGTAATAAACCCCTACCGACGGTCTATATTTGCTTATCTCAAACATAAACGTGATTGGTCGTGATTTTGTAATTACCGCCAAGTTCGCAATACGACATAAATCGATTGTAAGGTTCGTGCCATAATTATCCAGAAAATAGGTTTCAATAAACAGCTCACAAAAACACTACTATGGGTATGGCTCGTAAAATATCAGATTGTAGAAGGGTAATTTGTAAGTAAGACTTGAAATATATTTATCTTACACGGGTTACTTGTTGCGTGGATATTATAAGAGAGAACAACTAGACCATTTAATCCTTGACTGACCTACGGACAGTAGTTTTTACTGAAAATATATTTTGATAGTTTTCATACAAATGGATCTACTAGAAATTAGTTTGTGTTACGATAATGTTTTTTTTTTATCTAAAAATATAACGTGCAACAGAGAAAACGTAAAATATTCATTACTGAAGCATAACTAAACCTTACGTTCCAGATCCTTACAGCTGTATACATGCTTAACCACGATAATTAATTCTATGTTTCTATGGTTACAGGTTGGCTAATGACGACAGAACAGAGAACAGCGAGCGCTCTTGTCTGCTGGAAGCGCCTAAAATTGTAGAGGAGTTAGTAGCTACTTTAATAACTTCCATAATATAACCGGTGTATAAAAGGTAGTTAATCTAACGTGAGTTGTTCACGTAATTTTTTAATGTAAAGCATTATATTCTTTTATCACCGAGATGGTCGTCAATCAATTTTTCTCAGCTTTATTTCAGTATTTATTTTGTTTATAAACAGGTTATCTAGTTTGTGATAAAGATATAACTATAAATGAATGTTTATATTACCAAACAATTTTGGATGACCAATGTACAAAACTTTGTTTGCTACAGCATTTTATTTAATTGTTTTCTTTCTCGCTAAATGTAGTGTCAATTGAAACTTGTATATAAATCAAGGTAATGTAACTACAGAAATGTGGTGTAACTTTCAAATGGCTTATTATTAACTCATAAAATCTGTATGGTATCTTATTTTAGATTTTCCTATTTTACTAGACTTTTTTTTATAATTGAGTATTTTTAACCGACAGAGGTAAGTTAACTTTCTAATTATTAACCATTAAGAAAAGTAATGTTTTCTTATTTAATTTATGAATGAGTATGCCTATGACTTAAAAAACAGCAATTTAACTTCATAATCGTAAATCAAGCGCCTAAAGTTTAATTTATAGGAAATAATGATTTGACACAAAAAAATTATTGATATTAACTTTTCACCTCCAATGTCGGTGGCAAATACTGTCCATAAGATTTTGTAAAACTATAATTATTATGAAAAACGCAGAATTTAATGTTTATGTATAGCCCTATTAATGAAACTTTTACTACGAGATATGTAGTGATTACTGTGTAGATAAACTTCGTAATAGCCAATCAATGATGATATTTAATAATGATCGAAACAAGGTCAGCGATGTCACGATTTTATCAGATCAATCTTGACAATCAAATTAATCACCACATAAAAAGATTTCGTCAATTAACTAAACGGAATCTTTTCGGTGGATGAGTGAAGAAAGCTAATAATACAATATCTTAGGGAGCTGTGTGCACTTTTAATTCGATGGAAAAAACTTGAATACGAAGTTCTAGTCGTCTTTACAACAAGATTTAAATTTCCACGCGTTTCTTTTTCTAAAATTCGATGCTTTGCAGCACATAGTAATATTCTGGTTTAATAGATTTCCTGTTAGTGTGTCACTTTGTACATTTTTTGTAAAAAAAAAAATAGATTTGTATATAAGAATGTACGATGTATGTTGAGATTGTATATAAACTTGATATTCAAAATAGATTTGTAGTTTTTTAATTATTAACCATTATATTTATCTAAAGATGTACACTAATTTCCAGTTCAGTGATGTAATTTAGAGGATGTTTTTTTTATTGTTTCACTGAACTAAATGCTGTTTTTATTTACAGCTGGAATACCAGATCGATAATTAGTTCCTTCACATATTCCTTATAAACAATATATCTAAACATGTATTAAAAGAAACAAAATTATTATTGCGTTAAAATATGATAAATACTATAGTTCTATCTAGCAACACTAATGATTAACGTTACTCTTAATTCATGATAATTAGGTCTAAATTTATTGATTATTTTTCCTCATGTAAGTGTATGTTTTAAATTATATGAAACCGCTTTAACTGTAAATACATTTCTGTAGCGATCTGAACGAGCACGTTTGTACATGATATACAGCACGTTTGTACATCATATACAGCAGGTTTTAATGTTATTTCACCTCCGTTTATTAGACATGTTTCAGTGACACAAACACAAGAAAATAGTTTAGAGTATTAATTAATTTAGCTTGGGGCTTTGTGAATAAATAGCTATGGTAGCAGCTAATCAATCAGTACGAAATGAAAATTAGTGCCCGTTTGAAATTGAATACAGTACGCTAACATTGAGAATAAAAACTGTATTTGTAAAGTGAATAAAAATTAAGTCGGTCTTTTTTTTTTAGCACTATATTGTCTTAGGCTAATAAATGCGAAATATTAAACATGGACTTTATTTGAAGTTCGCATTGTTTACTTGACAACTGTAATTTGATGGGTTTTCTCGATAACTTGCCTGGTTTTTTGTCAGCCGTAAAGTTATGACGGAACGTCACTGAAACCAACTTACTTTTAAGATCTACATAAACTCTAACTAGTAACACAATTATACGTAACGTTGATTACTGACGTAAATATGAATATTATATCAAACCATGAGAGATTTAAAATAATCACGTATTAAGAAACTGAGCACACTTGATGAAAATACTTCTCTGTTGTACATTCGTTAAGACAATTAAAAACATAAGAAAATATTGTAATACATACTTTTTAACAGAAATATTATCACATCTACGACGTTGAAACTTAGGAATAAAACTATAAAACATGTTAGTATTTTTAGAAGGTTGAAGATCTTTTACATTTTCGAATCTAAACTCTTAATGGCTTCAAAGTTGAGATTTTGTTCTATATATATATTATATAATTAAAAAAAAAGATTACATCATCAGGAAGAATAGCGTGATTTTACACGGCATATCCAAACCTTAGATGAAAAGTAATTAACTGTAATATTACGTGAACATGAAAAAATGAAGAGAAACAACGCAGCTACAAAACAGACACGGGTGCACAAATAAAGAGGCTAGTTATGTCATGTGTCCAGGTTTTTGAGGTACTGGCGGAAGTAAGATCCAAATTGTGTTGGGGGTACTGAGTCCAAAGAACAGTTTATAACAAGTCATTGATAATTATGCATTCTTTCTTGCCTAAACGTGGAATTCCTTTTACAGACGAAATGCCCATAAACCATTTGGTTGTTTGCAGAAGGCTTTGTTAACTGAATACTTAAGTCTTTAAAATATAATTTTAAGAATGACGAGGTATTGTGTAAGATGTTAAGGAAAAAATATGCACACGTATACATTGTCTACAAGTATTCAACCACCAAGAACGCCTATTACATTAACAATGAGAATTTTCTTACGTTTTTGTGTGATACTGTTTTATTTTGTTTTTAGTGTTAGCTTTACCTTTAGATTGATAATATACTCAAGCGATCTTTAAATAAGGGCATCAAATAGGCTAAGAATTACCGTAAGTATGAACATGGTAAAAATATAATTGCAATTTATAATTGGAGGAACATGCAAATTAAGCAACTAAATACTATCGTAACGGCTAACAAACGAATACTGAGAACTCCTCCCCCAGTGTCATAGCGGTGTGTCTACGGACTCACAACGCTAGAAACCGGGTTTCGATACCCGTGGTGGACAATTGGCACAGATAGCCAATTATATAGCTTTGTGCTTAACTTCAAACAAAAGAAGAGAAAACATATTTAACTTCTTGCTCCTGCAAAGGCAAAATCTCAAACACTACATTATAGAGCGGTTTTTACATTTATCTTAAATTATTTTGGTTAAACGAAGAGGGTGCTTTGTATACTATACCATTTGAAAGATGGCATTTACGAAGAGGAAACTTACATAAACGTACAATGTATTATAGCTCCTCGAGCTTAATGCAACGGTAGGTTTTATTGTAGCATATTATCCATACGATAAAGTTTCCATTCTTTTAGTTTTCATTGGTTTTCATTGCTTTTTAAAACTCATATACTTTTTTATTTTGGGAAGTTTTCTTGAAAGCTTTTCGGGATAAGAATATCTCACGATTCTGATTATGTGAAAATTTGTTTCTAAATGAACAATTTATTTGCTTTCTTGTTTGAATATATATATATATAACATAATTGTCTTACTGATTTTACTATATAATTGTTTTCATACAGTTGAGAAATGATTTTAATCTGACAACAGTTTGAATTGTACTGTTTGCTCGGCGGTTTATTTGTTAGATAATTTAATTATGATAAATAACAATGAGAGCTAATCAATATATACATACATACAACGCATTTTCTAGGCAGTGTCTTGAGGCAAAAATACTTGCTTGCTAAAAATTTCATTATAAGCCTTGATTCTGTGGTATTAGGAATGATGACATACAGATGAAATATGTCACCGCAATAACAGAAGATTCGACAGGAATTGTAGATTGAGGTTACTGGGTAATTATTAGCAAATAAAAGGCGCACCAACAGAGATTAAACAAACAATGCTAGATTTATTGCAAACCTTTCAACTAAAATAGATGTAATGAAAATACCAAGAGAGCTGAAAGTTTTTCAGAAAAACATGTAAAACCGAAACACGTCGTATGAGTTTTGTTTTCTAACATGAATACAAAAGTGCAAATTATGTGAGAACGGATTTTACAAGTTAGACCAACCTGGGAAGAGCCACCACTAAATCAAGCCAATCATAAAAAGGCAAACCCGATTTATTTTCCCATGTGACTGTGGTGTTGGCAACTTCACTAGTCACCATATTAATAAAAAGGAAGAAGCAATCTAGACTGGTAATAAATACAGACGACAAACTACCAGAGTCATGTTGGCAACAGTTCAACAATAGTTTTTTTGGTTCAAACCAAACTCAAAATTACATGATTTAATGATTATGATATACACTTACCTATAGAAAGGTATCGTTTATGACCTAAGCATATCAAAGCTCCTCACTCTATAAACTATGATATACTTAAAAACACTTTACCACTTTTTTTTCTCTCCTCTATTTTTATTTTGTTTTTTACTCTTTTCTCATTTCTACCGTGCTGTATGTATGGATGTTTGTTAGTTTTATGTTCGGTATATTCGTCCAGGAAGTAACCCGACTTCAAGAGGCATTGCAATATATTGATTTTAGCAGAGTTTTCTTGACTACCATACCGAAGCCATAATACTCGTCGATAAAATGCGTACAATAAATTTCATTAAATCTCTCTCTGCTGGTAATTTGATATAAGTATAATCTAACCTATTCTCAGAACAGTAAACGCTGTATTAATCGAATTTCTAAACATTGGGATTCCATATTTTTACAAACTCGTACACAACATCTAAAATTACCGAGTGTTCTGTTTAGTTACGTTAACTATATATAAGCCGAGTGTGTGCCTTCACGTCAAAACTAAAAATCTTTGAAAGTAGCATTACATTTGTGTAATTCCAAGTATGTACAATATAGAAACTAGTCTTTTAAGAAGTAGAACGTTTACTCAAGTTATATTACAAAATGAAAATCTAGTAGTAAGAGGCAAGTAAGGCTCCTGGAAATACACAGGCTGTGTACTATACGGGGCTGTTGTGTACGGACAGAATTTTTTTTTATTCAATCCCTACTGTAGATTACGAGTGTGACAACAACAAAAAATGTTAAATTGTTTCATACTTTAAAGTCAGTTTAGATCAAGACACTGGAGCTGCATAAAACAGTACAACTTGGTACACACTGGAGCTGCATAAAACAGTAC